CTCTTTTTATGAATTAATATATTTATATAAGTGCACACCTATGTTTATACCTCTATCCATAGCTTTGTTTCCTTTTACCTTCCTCCTGCCCCATGATTACACTCGCCCTTCTTCTGCCTCTTAGTAATTCCTCTCAGCTAGATTGCTGTTGCTCCAACACCCCCAGGAGCTCTATGTCCTTCTCATTGTGGATTTTAATTCCCTAGTTGTTCCCCTGTGTATAGCGTTGCTTGCTCATTGCTCCATTCCCCTGCTTCCTGCTCCCCCAAAGTCCGTCTGGAACCATCAGTCTCATTGCTTTCTCCTCAGGCTTGTTTCCCAGGCCTATCTATATAGGTAGGCAAAACAGAAATAAGAGGCAAAATAAAAAGAGAACAAACAAAAAGACTAGCCAAAAAAGGCCCCCAAAAAGCATACATAATTCCAGGTTTGTCTACTGACCTTTATGACCATCTCCCCACCAGTCCTGGGGGATTCCAGGAACTGCCCCTCCTGACCTCAAGCCTGTTTTGGGGGCTCCTCAGAGGTTTTGTGGTTTGGATTTGCTCCCTTTGCTGATCTGTTATGTTCCCTTCTTGGTTTGTCCCATTGTGGGGGTGGTCAGACCAGACTCACTCTCTGCTGTGTGTCCCCAGTATTGTCTTCTGTCACGGTATGCTCCAGCGAAGGGACATCATGTCTCGACCTGTTGTCAGTCCTACAGTCCTCTATGTACCGTAGCGGCTTCATGTAGGGACATCGTCCAGGCTTGCTTGGTGTGCCAGTAGGGGGTCTAGTCCCTCACTCTCTCTTTTTGCTTCTCAATGGGCATGGCAGGCCCACCCCTTTCCCCAACCTGTAGGTTTACTGTTGCCCTCTGTAGCACATACTTCGGTGGGGGGGGGGGGGGGGGGGGGGGGGGGTGAGAGGGTCATTTTGCCTCCAATAGGGGTTGGCCCTGTAGACCCCTCTGTTCATGAGTTGCTCCATGTGGTTACGTTGCCCTCAAGGTTCTGCGTACCATGGTGGAGTCTGTACTCACCCTCCTATTTCTGTGGCAACAAATAACACCCTCCCCCTGGGTGGATTCGTGCCCTACTCCCCCAGTGCCATCATCATCTCCCTCGTTTTTGTTTTGTTTTGTTTTCTTTTTTTTTTTTTTTGTCCTTTTCTCCCTCCCCACTGCCTTTCCCCTTCTTTGTGTTCATCCTTGGGTTTGATCTGTCTCCCCACCCGGTTGCATGTACCTCAGCCTGTAAAGTATGAGATAAGTGGCATTTCTTCTATACCTGAGTTGCTTATACTTACCTCAGTGGACTCATGTTGTACTTGTCCCTTTGTGATTGGCTTTGCCTAGCATAATTTCCTCCAGCTCTTCCCATGATGTGATGTGCTTCATGTGATCATCAGTGCTTTTTAGTGATGCATAGGACTCTTTGTGTGTGTGCCAGTTTTCTAATCCACTCGTCTATTGATGGAAATGTAGGTTGATTCCAATTCTTAGTGATTGTGAATTGCACTGCATAAACAATGGAGTGCAGACAACTGGTCTTTTACTATTGCTTACCTCTTCTGGTTATATGCCCATTAGAGGGATTGCTGGGTCATAAGGTAACTCAATTTCCATTTGCTTTAAATATTGCCAGATGGCTTTCCACAGAGGCTGTACGCATCTCCCTCACCACCAGCGGTGGAGGAGAGTTCCTCTCTCGCCACATGCCTCCAACATTTGTTGCTCTCTGATTTTCTGATTTAGGCTATCCTCAGGGTGTTAAGTGGTATCTCATAGTTGTTTTAATTTGTATTTCTCTGATGGCTAATGATCGCAAGCATTTTCTCATCTGTTTATTAGACATTTGGGTCTCCTCCCTGGTGAAACTTCTGTTCAGGTCTTTTGCCCAATTCCTCAGATGTTAGCTGTTTCCTTCTTTTTGCAGGCTAGGAGGGTATTGTAGATTTTAGTAATAAGGCTTGCCAACTTTCTAATCATAAATTCAAAAGGCACTTCATCTCAGCTTTTATTATTTTTTAAGCCTTTATCATTTATTTATTTTTAAATCATTTTATTGGGGGGTTGTACAACTCTTATCACAATCCATGCATACATCCATTGTGTCAAGCACATTTGTGCATTTGTTGCCCTTATCATTCTCTAAACATTTGCTTTCTACTTGAGCCCTTGAT